AGACAAATAGCACTACAGGTAAGAGAAAAAAATGTATTTTTGGGATGAACAGTCCCTTTAAGGAAAATAACATAACCCCAGGAGGTGTGTGAAGTGTCTCCATATAAATCCACATCAAGAGAACATTTTCTCATATTGATTCCTTCACTGTGCACCACATTGTGTTTGCTTATGTTTTGTTGTGCTTTCAGGAGGTGGAGATGAAGTACAACGAGCTGCGACAAACACACAGTGACCTGGCTACTGACTCAGACGACAACAATGGTTTGTTTCACGTCGGAGCAATCGACTGATGTTCATCCACATCCATCTTTTGTACATTTACAGTAAATCAATAAACACTCTGTTTGGTATTTTTCAGATGGGATTCAGTGACGAAAGTCTTCCCGCTCCCTCCTTCGTATCAGCCAGGTCTAATTTTACTCCATGATTACTTTCTTCTGGAGGGATCCTTGACCATTTAACACTGATGTCGCCCAATAATGGAGGCCGAATGCCTGATCTGCCACTTCAGACATTTGTGACAATCAGTGGAGGACGTTTTCATCATTATTATAGGAATGTTCCACTATAAACTCAAAATCCTTCTCAGGAGAGACACTGTGGAATCACCTGAGGACAATTCAGTTGCTTTCTGCTATAATAATAATAATCAACTGCATAAATTATCTTAAACACTGGAGATATGACATGGAACAGGGCAAATGCATGTACAGCAGAGAAGCATTAAGAGATGAAAAGAGACTTGAAGACTCTGACAGTGACCACGCTGAGGATCTGGAAGGTTCAGGACTCACTGCTGTAAGCTTGATATAAAAGTCTGCAATAGGAGATAACCTCTACTGTACATATTCAGCCTGGCATGCCACATAGTTGAACATACTTAAAGGTAGACTTCCTTATTTTGTAACAGCGCTGAAAAGTTAAATGTTAAATGCCAAACTTTTACTCTCAATACACTGATTATGTTTTGAAATTTGGCAACACACAAGAGGCTGTCTTCAAAATGATTATTTTATGTTGTATGTCTTTAGCCTAGCTAAGCATAAAACTGGATTTGAGGGTGAACAGCTACCAACCAGCACCTTTAGAGTTCACTGATTAAAATGTTGTATCTTGTTTGTTTCATCCATACACAAACAGAAATTTAAAAATGACTTTATGGATGGAGTTTATGGTTTTTCAGGGATTTTTGAAGTGCTGGACGGATGGATAAACTGTTGTCTGTCATAAAATAGTCCCACTAAAACCACAAATTGTTTTTACATTTATGTTTCTGTACGTATTATTGTTAATTAGTGAGCTTTAAAGGTGTTTTTAGGCAGAGCCAGGCTAACAGTTTCCCTCTACTTCCAGTCTTTGTGCTAAGCTAGGCTAATTAAGTCCTAATAGTGACCAGTCACTCTCAGAAAGAAAGCGAATAAGCATACTGTATGTTCTCAAGATTGCAAAGTAGTAAGCCTTCAAGCACATGAATAATACCATTTAAATTTGGTTATAGGAGGCTTGTGTACGTGTTCAGGTTTAATAGACTGTACATCATTTATTTGGGAACTGACCACAAATATCCAATGAAAAACAGTCCTATTTTCAAAGATAAAGACACTTCCAGTACTGTTTATTTGTGTTCTTGGTTTGAATATCTGTGCAAATAGCTTCAAAATTAAATGATGTTCAGCAGCTGACTTTAAAGTCCCTGATTTTCAAATTTCCTATAGCACTTGAATGTAGCATAATACAGCAGACAAACTTTGATCCAAGTCTGCCTACAGTTCACCAAATTTGAGCCAAATTAATACAACAATAAAGAAGAATGATAAGAACAGAAGTCAAATGGAGTTTGGCACATATACAGTAAGGAAACAGATTTGGAAAATACTGATTGGTTTGTTTTTCCAGTGAGTGCTGATGAATGCAGTGAAATCTGTAGTCCTCTGTCATCTTCCTGGTAGGTAGAACAGAAAAACAACTACAGCTATAAAAAGAATTATTGACATTGTGTGTAACTGCTGATGTCTTTCTGATGCTGAAGTGCATCTAAGAGCACACATACTCCATAATATAGATCGTGTGCACATGTGAATTTATTGAATTGAACTCATTTGTATTCCAGACCTTTTTTTCCTTACTTCCACTGGCCTCCATGATAGTGTGCACAGTGCGGTGACTAACTAACCTGAGTGCTTTTGTACATCTTTAAACACTAAAAACGAGTTTCTTTATTTCCCCCGAAATATTGTGAGGAGGTTTTCTCCAAGATCTCTTCAGCCTCTGCAACAGGCTCCTCATACAAACTACAAAGAGTCACTCGTCAAACCTCTGCACTTCACTTCACTGGTTGGACGCAAATATTTGTTGGCCACAAGACTGCACAGACGACATTATGGCTTCGATTTTTGAACGAAATAGATAAAACAAATTAAAAAGAAAAGCCTGAAAAGTCAATGTAGACTAAATAGATTGTTATGGACTGTTTTCAATGTAAAGGAATATAATGTACAATTATGACTGTATTTTAAAGGTTTTGTGTGTTGTTGTTTTTTTTTACACCATGCAATCATGTAATGTTTTAACACAAACTACTTAAAAAGAGGGTAAAGTATCCATGCAGCATTAATCTGTGTCATAAATGTTCCAAATGTTATATTTTATTACGTTGTTATTAACCCTGTTAACATGTTTGCTGACGTTGTTGAGAGCACAAATAGCTCCTCTTAGATGAGGAGATTTTAAGATGATCTGTTGTTAAAAATGAAGGAAAGACTGAAAAAGGTGTCATTTTATTTCATTTTGGGGGGCTGGGGTTTGATGTTGGCATCTTATTTATCTTAAATATATATCCGTCTGGAGCTGGGACATGTCCACAAGTAGCATTAAAGAAACAATCCACGCTGAAATTAGCAGTAAACATCAGTTCCACAAGTTGCCTGCGGGTCTTTGATAGTTAAATTCCGTCAGCGACATCAGACCTGTAACAAACACTACTGCTAGCTACAGAAGCTAGGAGAATCAGATCGGCAAATGTCGATTTTAGCTTTTTACTTAAATTAATTTATCATTTTGAATTGGTTAATCCATCCACCCAGCCCAAAAACTATTTTTAGAAAGTAATGATAAATAATTCTACAGCATCTACATCATCGCCCCTACTGGTTTTCCATCACAAGGTCCAAACTTTGGTCGGTATGATCGTGTCTCAGGTATAACATTTCATTTGATGTGGTATTAAACATGCATTTATTTTTATTTATTTATTTATTATTTAAATCTTTAATGATTATTAATTAATAGATTTTACTTGGTTAACCTGCAGAAACAGTGCTGTAGAATCAGACATCCTTCTAGATCGACCAACAGTCTGTTATCATTGTTTTTGTGTGTTAAAGTTTAAAGGATAAGGCTGTTATTAGTCTATATTTTTATGTATTCTCATGAAAAAAACAACAACGTGTTAGCATGTATGTGGTATTCAACCCTGAGAACTTTGGTTCCTACCACAGACATAAATCTTCAAAAAACAGGTCACAAATATGTAATTTCTCCTTAGTCATACTCCTCAGTCACACAGTGCATTTGTTGGGGACTATTTTCAGTCGTGGATATTTACACATTTGGTGTCCTAGTGCAGTGGTTCCCAACCTGGGGGTCGCCAGAGCCTAATGGGGGGTTATTATAAAATTTGGGTCGTTATAAACGTGAGAAATGATTTCTTGTTGGAATTAAATTCAGTTACTGCGTGTGGGTCCAATCAACTCTATGCCAAATTTTGCGCATTTTGTTTAGTTGAGATGTTTGACAAGATGACAGGAAGAAGAACAAACAGATGTGGCTGTGGGTTGAATGAAAGTCGAGGACCAATTAGGGAACAAACTGCCACATTTACTTCAAGTTCATTCTAAAACTTTTTTCCATAGACGCTTTATTTTGACATAAACTCATGCTTTCATAGAACGTCAACTCACATTTCAGTTCTTAAAGGATGATTCTGAAAACTGAAAACATACAGTAAACACAGGTTTGGTGGATTGAGGTAAAGTTAAAAATATGGCTCATAGCTACAAGAAAAAATTATTTATAAATCCTATCCTATAACAGATCTGGCATGAAAACAATATAGCAGCGGCATCAATCACACAAGCATCACAATCATTGGTACAAATCAGCTAAATCAAATCACACATCTGTCATATCTCAACACTGTTTCGCTGATTACTTAAGTAGGCTTGAGGATTTATTTAAGCCACACAGACAAACAAATGAGCTTTAGCTAAACTTAAAAAAAAAACAGATCAGTTTTCAAAGCACACTCGGTAGACCGGAGTAAAAAAGAGAAAAGCAGCTTGACACATTGCCTTGTTTCAAGACGCAAAGCATTAAAGACGCTCTATCTATATAAGTGTTGATGCAATACATTTTTATCACGAGTTAAACCACAAAAGTTGGTATGATTACTAGGAAAAAAGGGCTGATTTGACTCGGTGCTGCAGTAGAAGAATACGTCTTTTTTCACAGCAGACATATATAAATGTAATAATAATAATAATTTAACTAATCTGTTTTTTGGAAGTTCATCAAATTTATGGTATATTCCATTTGAATTGGGAAGTCAGAATTTCCAAGTTCCCAAGAACCTCAAAATCCAAGATGGCAAATAAAAAGTTGTAGTCTGTTTATTAGCACTTCTGTCCTTTGTTTTTCCTTAAATCAGTCATACACACTGTCACTTATGTCTGCGGACATGTTTGTATGAGCAACATGTAGCGTAATGTGTTGTAATCAACTGGTCTTGCTAACAATGGCTAATGGATAACCTGGCTGGAGCTCGGTTTTCCAACTTGGGTGTAAGCTCCGACTTTGTACGTCCCATTATGTGCGCTATTTCTGGTTTCTGGTTTGTACCATAAAGCAATCCTATGTAAACAGGCTTACTTATGTAGCACAGAGGCAGGGCACAAGCTCTGTAAGCCGTTGTTCCTGCAAGAACTGCGAGGACTTTAACTTCAATCCAGCTTTTGTGTGTTGATTTCTTTGAGTTTGTGGTTCTCTATCCACTTTTTATACTTAGCCCTACTTTTCTTGTAGCCAAATCTGGCAATGTCCACCATGAACACCCAGGCCAGTCCATACATAACCACGCCGCCGACCTTCATGATCAGCGTGGTCCTGGGAGAGGTGATCTCACAGTAAAACATCACCGTGCCCACTCCCACGCGCACAGTGGCAAACAGTAAAATAAAAATCAGGTCCACCGCGTCGCCCAGCAGGCTTTCGTACAGGCCCAGCTGGCGGAGGAACCAGCGGGTCTGCAGCAGGGGGTTGGTGATCTCGCTGCCGAAGATAACTCCACAGGTCTCGCAGCCTGACACTCCCATGAGCAGAGCCAGCAGGATGCCCATGATGCTCGCAGCGTGGTGCGCCAGCATGACAGGGCCCTCCGTTTGGTTGAATACACACCAGCACATATCAAAGAAGAAGTAGCCGAGGCAGACAGCCAGGGCGAAGGTCTGGAGCTTGGTGTTTTCTGTGCCTGGAGGATAGATAGGAACAAAAAGAGAGTTAAAAGCAATGTGAAACTGTCTGCTTCGTGCCATAAAGCGATTTCCTGTGTAAAACAGTGCGTTTATTTGTTAGGATCCAGTTAGTCTTCCTGGGGTCCACAAATCAACACATTAAAACACATTAAATCTCACAATCAACATGAATGACAAACATAAAACATATAAGAAATAAACAAAACATAACAAAACATTAGCATGTAAAGCTAATTTTTGTCCATTTTGCCCATATAGTCTTTCAAAGATGATGCAATGTGTTTCTTTATTTCCTTTTTAAACATTGATTTATGTGTTAATTTAGTCAGTAACAGCGGTAAAGAATTCCATGTTTTCATTACTCTACAAGCTACTGTGCATTTAAGTAAATTTGTGTTTGCCTTAGGGAGTAAAAACAGACCTTCTGTTGCCTGTCGGTGGCATATGTATGGGGCTCTAAATTGTATTTTTATTGACTGCACTGCTATGATGGTGTTTAAGACTGTAAAACCTTCCATGTACGGTATGTGTACATCACTTTAATGTTGGTGGAGCTGATTTGAATTACTCTATATACTGCTGTGTAGCTTAATCTGTTGTAGTGTCAACATCATCATATTTCATTTGTAGTACAGAGTAGAAAGTACAATATTTACCTCTAAAATGTAGTTGAGTAGAAGTGTAAAGTAGCATAAAGTGGAAATACTCAAGTAAAGGTCAACACTGTGTTTAAATACAGTACTAAATGTGTTTAGTTATTAGTTTATTAAAGGTTAAATGAATAGAATCCATTCAGACTAACACCAATTGTGCTTTTCAGTGTTCTAAACACAGTTTATTATTTAAACAAAACATCCATTTTAAATCAGTTTGTTGCTCTTGTGTGTTCATGCTGATCATCCATGTGGATTCAGCAGTAACAAGACTTTGTTACTGAGCTTCATTAACCCTAAGTGAGGACAGCAGGCCACTATTAGAACCAGTCTTTATTTATAGTCCTTTCAAAGCACTCACAGAATGATTCCCAATCAGAGGAGACACAAACAGTCTCACTAATTACAGCCTGTGTCTACATTTCTGATATAGGAGCTCAACATATAAAACAATTTAGCATTTTAAGTTGCATTTATAGACTTTGAGTCAAGTTACTTTAAATGTTTTTGTGCATATTGTTCATCACTGACCTGCATGTGTAAGGGGCCATGGTCCGTCTATGAAGACGACATACGCTGTGAGCAGCACTATCAGGACCCCGTGGGACAAAGTGACCAGCCGACAGTTCCACTCGGGACTCCGGTGAGCGAAGGTGCAGCAGAACAACAGGTAGAGACAGAACCAGCCAATCAGGCTGCAGATCACCTCCAGTACCGGCATGGCTGTCTGTGTGGGACGACTGGAGTGAGTTCACCATACGACTCTTATCACCATTGGCTAAATAAGAACCACATACAGCTTGTTGTGCTTTCACTTCATGTCAGTTTAAATGTCATTTGTATATATACAATTTGAATTAACAAAGGGCTCAAATGAGGAGGTTTAAGGTCTTTTAAAAAGGTTTATTCTTAAATTAAAATGTTTGTATAAAACAATGTGCATGTGACATTAATATGTTCATTAATGTGGGAGTGGAGGCGGGTGTATAACCAGTTATAATAACATTAAGTTACACTTGTTGGCAAATAAAATAACCGCAGTGTAGAAATACTCTATTACAAGTAAAAGTCACAAAATATACTTAAAGTACAGAATGTCCTTATTTCTGTTTACAACTACATTATAGAGTGCTATGAACCATCTATTAAATATTTGTGTAGTACTTAATAGGGGTTCAAATAAAATGTCTAATAAATAGTTTAACAGGAGCCAGAATTTGTTGCTAAACCATATTTTAGTTTGGGTAAATAACATAATATAAAAAATAACACTTGTGAGTGCTTTTCTGCCCATGAGTGCTGGGTAATGTTAACCCAGTGCATTAGTGCTTTAATGACCCAAATTGAGAGGGAGTTGACCCAGTGACCTTTTATTTTTTTAGCATGTTACACTATTACAAAACACATAACTGTCATGTGCAGCACTCCACGCTCACATACCGTGTCTTACCTTTATATGCTGACTCCTCTCAGTTGTCCTCAGATTCAGGATACATGAAGAAAACAACTCCAACGGTCAAACGCGGCCTCGGCCTCCATCACTGTTTATGCTCCATAAAAGGCATGAAGACTAAAGCTCAGCACATTTTAAATGGACACATGTTCAGCCCGTCAAGATGACAGAAATGCCATGTGCAGGCTACTATGGACAGTTAGTGGATCCTTTATCCCTTCCCCCTGGATCTCAGACCTGATCCTCTTAAAGGATTACAGTCTTTTCTGCAGATACCTGCTTTTAGATGGGACGGGTGGCGTGATTCTGCAGCTGAAAAATTTGAGTTTGCACATATACCCCATATCCGAATGTCTTTATATTGGCTACTAATACAAACCAGAGCTGTGTAAATCCTGCTTTTGACTTTCTGGTCTAATTCCTTTAGGTTCTCTGGATGAAATAAAAGTTTCCAGGACTTCTTTCAAGCAGGAGAACACAAATATTCAATAACATTCTTCTATGAAGCTGAAGTTCTGATGTCCTGCTATTTGAGGGAGAAAACATATTCTTTGTACTCCTTATAAACTGGTAAAATAGTTATAACTGGTATAATAACACCAGTTATAATCCAGAAGTTGTGGTTTACATTTATAGACATGACAGTGAAACAGGATGAGGAGTGTAGTCGATATCCCATAAACAACAGCCAGAATCGCTGACGTAGTGAGCGGGACAGAAATACAAGATCTTTCGAATACTGGACACAGTCTGGTGTTACTTTTTAAACTTTATTTTCCAATTTACATTCAACCAATTTGCATGTGAAAGCTTGAATTGAAAATAAACCTGCATTGTGGAGAATATAATGTAGATGTGGAGCTCTCCACATGGTTCAGTTACGTCAAAGATTGATCCTGGATCAGTGTGCCCCCCTCCCCTGCAGACACTGACATGATGTCTTTAAATAAATATAATGAATAAATACGTGACTGAGGTATATGGGACCACAGCAGTAATTGAGTGTATGCAGTTTACATGCAGGTAAGTAGTTTTCAGGTGTGACTCTGCATGCAGCCTGTGAAGTGAATTAACCCACTTCCAGAGTCGCTCTAATCTGACACAAGACTAGGTTATTGGTCAGTCGTGGACAGTTAAGGCAAGCACAGGTATGATTTAGTCCATGCAGTTCCATAGAAATATTTAACAGTCAGTAATATGTTTGGAAATAATATTTAAGTTGATGAAATTGAATGGTGCAGTCAGCTGTAAATATAGCTTTTATGTAGGATAATGTAAAAAAAAAAAAAAGGGGTAATTTTAACATGTTAAATAGATAAAAGCTGTACTTCCCTGCCTAAATGAAAACCACATAATGAATATAGAATATTTTTTAATAAAAAAAGAGGGCATCTTCGCACATGATACTGCAAATACTGAGAGACTTTGAATTCAATCGATTAAATTAAACTTTGTTATCAAATTAAATTTGATTTCATAGGAAACGTTGCCACTACCTGTTTGTAACACCAAAATGTGAGATCCATGTGTGTTTCAGGAGATATAAGACATCCATGTCCAGTTGTAATGTTTAACAGGCGGTCCAGTGTTATTATGTTACGCACTCCAGTCCAATAGGTGGAGCAATGCTTCTGTAATGTGAGTAAAACGGAGGGCAAGGAGAACCGTGAAAGAAGAACATTTCTCCTTCCGAGGTTAGCTGGGTTAACTAAAGATAAACACTTGATAATGACATTGAAATATATTATTACTATTTCAGCTGGTTCCCATCAGATTCTGTACAGCAAGAGTTAGTTCTTCATCCCGTGAAACACGTTATAAAAGGCCGGTCCGACAGGAAGCAGAGGTAAGTTAACCCAGAGTCAGTGGCTGCATGTGGAGAGAGCGGAGAGAACACGAGGTGAAACTCCGTTCATATTACTGAGAATTTAACACTCCCATGAATATTGTCAAATTTATATAGTTTTTAAAACATGTTTAGTTATCTTAATTGAATGATTATGAGCCGCTTTCTCATTCGGCTTTAATTACACATACAAAACATCACTTATCTTAGGGTAATTTTAACATATTAGTCGTTTCCCATGTTAGTTCGTCCATCGGTGTCATGCAGGTGTTCGCCAAAGTAATGTTGGGAGTTACAACGGGGCTCGCTGGGGTTGACGTGGTTAAAATTGAAATTTAATTAAAATATAGACCTGCTTCATATGCCGAATTTACAAGTGAACCCCCACTAATATTTGAAGTCTTTTAAAGTCTTCTAGTGTCATATGTTTCATTTTGAAAAAGGCTAAGGTAGCATTATTGTCACAATAAGTGAACGGAATTTGGCGTTTTTACATTTTCTCTTCAACACACAATAAGAACTATCACAGGTGTAGCTTGCTGACACTGACTGTTAAAATTAGAGCTGAAATGTTTTTTAAAAGTCATGACCAGAAAGCTATCATTATTTAATGTTGTTTTGCAGGTTCAACATTTTTAAGTACCACTATTTTTCAACATTTGTCTATTTTTACAATTTGTTTTACACTAACTTAACTTCATCTAACGACTGCAACTGCAATGGTGTATGTAATTGAAAATGAGGAAGTAGTTTCTACTGATGTATTGTCATATGAATTATTTACAGAAATAAAAGTCTTAAAATAGCCTTTCATTCGTGGGTTGTCTTCAGGCTGTATTAAACTATTACCTGCTGTTCATTACAGTTTTATATAGGCCTGTGTTGTCTCTCTCTACAGGATGGCTTTTCCTTGTGTGCGTCTGTGCAGTCGACACATGAGCGCCGGGCTTCAAGTCTGTGGTTATGCGACACTCAGTAAAGCACCCAGACCCAGTCCCAGGCCGCAGGAGAAAAGCAGCACTGGTCCAGTTTTTCAGTACGTCGGCCAGCACAAAAAGCCCAACCACAAAGTGTTTGTATGGGGCTTCAGCTTCACCGGTGCTCTGGGTATCCCCAGCTTTGTGGTGCCGGACAGCGGCAGGAAGAAACCCCGCAAATACCAGCTGACTCCTTACCGGCTGGAGACCGCAGAGCAGGTGAAATCAACATCATTTTATTGAGCTTCACGGGTTAGGCTCTTTTAAAATACACAGTAAATATCGGGGTTTATTGTTGTGTGTCATTTCAAAAGGGTTTTAAATCAAATCAGATGTACTGCTGCATTATTGGAGCCTGGAAATTCTCACTATATGCTGACTGGCAGTGTTGTTCAACCAATATGAAACATGACGTATATGTAATTTTGATCCTTAATTGATATGATTTCTTCAGAAAATGATCATTTATTTATTTTTTTATGAGCAATACTTCCATTTTAATCATAATATAACATAAGTACGCAGTTTTGATGCTATTATTGTTGTAGTTTGCTTAAATGATGTCTTAATCCCCATTTGGACAAGATTTATTTCTTTTATGAGATTCTGGGTGATTTTAATATTCTATTGTAAGATTGTTAAGATCGTTTTCTTCTGTTGTAGATCTCTTCTGCTGCTTGCGGTTACGGCTTCACTCTCATCGCCTCCTCGACCAAAGATACGAGCAAGCTGTGGGGCATGGGCCTGAACAAGGACTCTCAGCTGGGCTTCCAACGCACGCAACACAGCCGCCGTAAGACAAAACCAGAATCACTGCTGCTCTCCACTCTGCTCAATTTACTTTAAACTGGAAATGTAAAGCTGCACTAACTGTTTTTTTGGACGCTGTTTTGGGTGCTTAAATCCCCTGTGTAGACATTTATACTTTTTTCCTTTTTATTGAATCTTTTATGATTACCACAGTCGACAGCTTGATTTGTTTAGTTATTAACCACACCTCTACCTTTTGTCCTGTCTCTGCAGTTAAGGGCTATGAGTACGTGTTGGAGCCGTCCCCGGTCGCTCTGCCTCTCGCCAAGCCTCTGCAGACCAAAGTGGTTCAGGTTGCATGTGGCCGCGCTCACTCTCTGGTCCTCACCGACCAAGAGGGAGGTAAGACACTCACAAACTCACATCTAGCTGCCGCACGCTTTGGTTAACTTGTATGGAAAGAAAATCACTGCTATAAATCACTTAAGGCTTTTTTAGAGGAGTCGTCGCAGCCGAGTGTTCGTCACAGGTTGTTGGCAGTGGAAGAACACCTGGTATTGTTGTTTTCAACCACCTGTCGCACTGTGTGTCCTCCACCCACCACTCAGTGAAAATGAATGATTATCAGGCAGCTGGTAAATCACATCTAAAAAGCCCATGAGGGTCTTGTTTACATTCAGCAAATTAGCATACAGATGTTCTTTTTCTATTTTATTTTTGGCTTTATTGGACAGTGAAAGTGAAGAGGCAGAGTGGAAACTGGAGGGAGATGAGGGTATGACATGAGGGTATTTGTATCATTGCTGCCCTCAACATTATCTACTGTTTATGGGAATTTAATAATATTTTTATGAATTCTATTAAAATTAGTTTTTGTCATGTTTTGGATATTTGCCAAATTGAAGAGTGGCATCTTTGTGTGTTTATGTACTTTACTGTAATGCATTAAATTACCAGATTTTTGAGTGGAGTTTGGCTTGACAACAGAGAATATGTCATGGCTCACTCACATTGCACTCTAAAGCAGGGGTTTTCTTTCAAGTCAAGATCTATGGCAACTTGTGATACATTTCCAATACCTCCTCCAACTGTGTATTGTATAAAACAAGCCAAAAGAAGGAAGAGCTTGGAGGAGGGAGGGAGAGAGGTGGAAGGTTTCTGCTTTGTGTACGTTGTACGTACGTGTTCTACCTGGCTGTTATTCAGCAGCATTTAATCACCAGGTTTCTGACTGGAGTTTGGCCTGCTGAGAGAGACTGTATCATCACTAACCTATAGAGTGACTCAGTGAAGTCTGTCACTTTTAAAAGGAAAACTGTAGTGAGATGATCACTGTAGGATTCAGTCAGTGTTAATAACAGGACATGACTGTTGCAAATGAAGCCCAGCAGTAGCTTCTCAGACTCTCATATGGTGCTAATTTATCAGCTCATTCCATCATTTCTGGTAAAAACTTTTCTCACACAACAAATATTAACTAGAGGCGCTGGGGAATAAAACTAATCAAAATGTAATTTTATCTTTTAAATATTGCTTTGGGGCTTTTACTTTTACTGCTGTCTGGGACTAAATGAAGCAGACTGAATATTAGAATGAAACTTCAACACGTCACACGAGACAAGAAAGCTTATATCAGTTGCCATATTCAGGATTTTTAAAATCTGTCCCTAACCACCTTCTCTCTGTTTTCTCTCTGTTTTCTCTTTTTCTTACAGTTTTCAGTATGGGCAACAATGCGTATGGGCAGTGCGGAAGGCGGATAGTTGAAGATGAAGTCTACAGGTGCGTCCTGATGCACTTTGCACACACAAACACAATAGTGTTCCTGCTTAGTCATATTCAAGATCATTTTATTTTTTTCCATACTAAGTTGATGTGTTTAAATGTCGGTGCTGCTTTTTAAAAAAAGTTTTAATATACTTTTTAGGTTTTATTTAGGTACATATAGTTTTGGTCGTCATCTCTATAGATTATAATATCATTTTGGAAATCTGGGAACATGGTGACTGGATGTAAACAAGCCATCAGTTTAGACAGATTATTTTATTAAACCATTTTATTTGGAGGTCAAACTAAGTGAGCACATCTAAAATAAGTAATAATCCCTCAGGCGTGTGCAGCTCTTTCAATGCCATGTTCATGTCACATATCCTATAATAGTTTAGAGAGTCATGTGAGTTGTAAACAGAACTGTGCATACACACTAAAGCACTGTCCATTAAATACGGTTAATTACCTTCACTTGGGTTTGCTTTCTTTTAAACACTTCAGATATGTTGGACCCAGTCCTAATTTGAACTGTGTCCAAACATTTTTGACTTTAAAGGTCCAGTGTATAACATTTAGGAGGATGTATTGGCATAGGTATGTGTATAATCAGCTGAAAATAATGGGTCCTCTTCTATGTTGAACCGTCATGTTTCTACAGTATCCCAGGACATGTCGTGGCAAACTTCACCACTAGAAGTCACTAAATCCTACACACTGGTCCCAGAAAAGGTCTAAAATATACATTGGAGAGCATACGGTTGCTAACTTAGCTGCTCCTCAAGCATCAATTTATATTTCTCAATTAAAAGACACCCCACCTGTTGAGGTCCGTAGGCTGTTTCGACTCTGTTGTTTATTTGTGAGCGAGAGGTTGTTGAGAGAAGGATGTGACCTCTCTCGAAGATCGCTGCTGTCCTCGACTGATGGATCGGTTATTTCTGTGTCTCATGTTCAAACAGCGGCAGTCACATCATTCACAAGATAGAAGGCTTCAGCTGCAGGGTCGTCCAGGTGAGTGCAGCCTTTGTCTGAGCTGTGATGACGGATGGTTTTTGGTTGTAGTAGCTCCCATTCCCCCTCCTGTACAAGACCTTCACCTCATGTAGCTGCCTTACACCAACACCTCCCCAGTGTACACATTAAAATATAATTTGTTGCCACATCAATCACTTTTCCTCAGAACATTCAGAACAAACAGTTAATTTTTAACAAGCTTGTTTAATCTTAGTTTTCTGGAGTTGGTTGAGGTGATTAGATTTTGAATTATGTGTATTCAGATGGGATTTGTTCACTGAGGATTCACATTTTGTGTGTTTTTTAGGTGGCATGTGGACAGGACCACAGCCTTTTCCTCACAGAGAAAGGAAAAGTGTTTGCGTGTGGATGGGGAGCAGATGGACAGACGGGTCAGTGCACTTCACGACAAAGTGACAATTTCTTGTATTGGGCACAGTCAGTCCCGATTAACCTTGACAACCAGAGGAAAAATGTGTTCTCTACTCCACAGTAGACATTTCTGCTACAGTGAAGCTGTGCAGAGAGACAGTTCAATAACCACCAACTACAGTTTATGAAAGCGTAGTGAAACCACCTCAAACTAGTGCAGCACATTCTACGTCTTGGATTATTGTAACCTGTATTTAATCAGGTAATCTCAGTGAGACAAAGGTTTTTTAGTACAGCAGAAAAACAGATGAGACACAAAATGACCAAGAAGTTATTTTATTCCAGTATAAGAAATGAGGTTTTATCTTTAGAAATTCTGCACAGACTGAACCATTCTAGCTTCAGAACCATTATATATTGGTGGCAGGACTATTCATTTTTAAAGATTTAATCCTGTTTGTTTCCAAGATCTTCTTACGGCGCTCTCACCACCACCTTAAGTGTTTTCATTTTAGTAGACGTGAGCAGTTCCTCCATTGAATCCTTCATTTTGCCACTATCAAGAAATGATCATGTGAAGTTAACAACAATCTCATAAATGCATGATACGTAAACACGGATAAAATAGTAGGAGATTGGCTGAAATGGAAGCAAAAAGAAAACCAAATTGGAGCAGGAAAGTAGACACGCTGCTGGTGGAGATGTAATATTGCCATTAACCAACTTCAACCTCTAGAGCTTGTTTTAAGATGTGTTCTTAAGCTCTGTATCATTCTCCCTCGTCTTCCAGGTCTGGGACACCACAACGTCAGCCCCAGTCCGGTGGAGGTGGGAGGGGATCTGGCAGGGGTGGAGGTGCAGCAGATCAGCACGTACGGAGACTGCAGCCTGGCCGTGTCCAGAGACGGACACCTGTACGGATGGGGAAACTCTGAGTACCTGCAACTGTCTTCAGTCACTGAGGCCACGCAGGTGAGGGGAGCTAACGTCATCCAGCAGACAGGAGTGTAGGAGGGGGCAGCATCTGTGCTGTGTGACCGCTCATGTGGCACAAAGAGTTGCTTGATGGCTCTGCTGGGTTCTATTTCCACCTGTCACTCACCTGTCCAGGCTGTATAAAGGTCTTTCCCAAGCTGCTCAGTTCACAGCAGTTGCTAGTCAGATACACACAATGTGATGTTTGAGCATTTTGAAACCTCTCTTACTTTTTTCCTGTCACAGTTCCAAGTCAGATTCATCAAACTCGCTCGTTTTAACTTTATGAACGCCACCTGTTCACGAGGAAGCGTCGCTCTTAAAATGTTTTTCATTAGCATAATCAACATGGCCTGAAAGTGCCGTATTAGGCTGCCAGTTCTGCTCCATTTGTCGGTTTAATTCGCAAAAATGTCACCTACAAGTAAAAAGGACTTTACAGCGCCCAGCCTGAAGTCTGTAATATTAGTGGAGCCCAGAACAATTAAAGTATTAATCACTCACTACAAAGCCATACAATAGCAGAAATACCTGAAGTCTGACATTAGGTTGAATAATGGCATTTTGAGGTAACTGTTTTCATTTTATGCAACTTTAAAACATCTACTTCACTACATTTCACAGAAATATTGTACTTTTTACATTTATTTAGCAGCTTGTGTTACTTTTCAGATTTAAATCTTACATTAAAAACATTTGAGTAGCTCATAAATACAATGCAGTGCTTTAGTCCTAAACTAACCAGAAGTGTTTAAAGTACCTACAGTTGGCTACACATTGACATATTAAGTAATAATATCCAGTAATACAAGGCTTTTTTTTTTATTACTATAACACTTATAGGAGTCCTTGTGCATAATTAGTGTTGATAATGCTTGTAGTTTTCCATCAGTAACAGTTGTCTACTTGTAATGGAGTGTTTTCAGACCCACATCACACTGAAAGAGGGAAGTGAATATTACCTTTATATGAAGCTTTATTCATTTATTATAGGTGATTTCATTCAAATTAAATGCATTATGATTAAAACCCGTTTTCCCCCTTCAGCAGACTCTTTACATGACTCCTACTGTATAATGACAGGTCAGAAGCACTCATGCATTTTGGCTGTTCCAAAGAAAAAAGTCTAAATATGCGTGTCATGTTTGTAATTAATAACGTAATTTACTGGATTACAAAAATAATGTAATCTAATCTGAATACTTTTGGATTACTTCAAAATCAGACATTGAGAATATTTCACATTATACTAAAAAAATGGACTCTACAAATATATATTTTTTATGTTAAACCTCTGACCTCCTCAAACGCAGTGCTCAGTGGAATAACATGAGATTTCCACCATTACACCATTACATCACAAGCTACTGACTGCAGAGGGTTAATCAGGTATTGGTTATCATGAAAAAAGTTTCATATTTTTTAGAGCTGCAATATTTCAAGATAAAGAAATTGTAATAAAGTAATCCTCAACTATGTAACTATGATCTAATGACACATAGTAAGTTTATGTAAATGTAATCTGGGCTGATTATAGTTAAATATTAGTCTGATTTATATAATCCTGCCCAACACAGTACATACAGTTTATAGATGAATAATTAGTATTTTGAAAGAGAAGAGTAACAGCAGCAGTAATTCACCCTCACTGAGCTCTGGTTTATCTTTCTCTTCCAGATCAACTCTCCTCGACGTCTTCCTCTGAAAGGCTGTGGAAAGATTGTTCAGGCAGCGTGTGGAGGGACACAGGTGGCCGTTCTCAACGGTCAGTTCACCCAAATACACCCGACCAACAGCGTTCAGATACGAACACAGTCTGTTTGATATTGTGAGCGTGAATTAGATTTATTAGCTGAATTAAAGAGCTCTAAGGAATACAGTTATGTGTTCTGAGCTGATAGCTTACTCTTGTTGAGTTGTTATCTACAAAACTCTTCAGTTTTCACTTTGGTGTCAGAGGTGTGACTCCTCACATGGCCTCTTGGTGGCATCACAGATCACATGGCAGGAGGACTACCACCAACTGTTTCTGATCTATCTATCTTAGATAGGAACTGGAGCCTTTTCTTTCCCAGACTCGCTCATGTTTTGTTTTTTTACCCCCCGTTAATGGTGTTTAAATGAGAGCCGAGTCAACCAGCAGGCTAATTTCTGTCTCTGCAGACTTTTAATGGACTATTTTAAGAGAGGGTTAATGTTCACAGCTATTCAAAAACCAGGGCTTATATTTATCAAGCGTCTCAGAGCCGCAAATTAGTCCTAACTGGCTTAAAATAATCAGTGACACATTTCTGCTATATTTCTGCTATCTTGCTATAGTGCAGTACAGAACAATATATGCAAGATGTAGCACCATTGTAACTATTCCACAATATAGGATATGTCATGCAGTGGATTTATTTGTATTTACATTTAGTCAATGTTTACTCACAGCCGACTATGGCTTTGGCATATTTTTGCATAATAACCTAGATAACTGAGTTAACCATTATTTTGAACATCCTCCTTTGTGCCTGAGAGAAATAGTGAGTTGGCAGGATTCCTTGTCCTTGATCAAAATAAAATTAGCTTCATAAATATCTCCTAGTAAGTCCTAGTCTTCAGCATGAGATGTTTGAAGAAGCTTGATAAATGATTGTCCTGATTGTAGAGTGTAATGAGGTCCACTGCTTTGGTCCAGACTGAAATATCTCAGCAACTATTGGCCGGATTGATATAAACCTTTTTACAGACATTCATGAATCCTACTGTCTACAGCTAATGTGTGCTAATTAGCTGCTAATGTAGTAACTTTTTCTAAATTATAGCAATGAACATGGTAAACATTATATCCGGTTTATCAGCATGTTAGCATGCCGAGGTTAGCGTTTAGCTCAGAGGACAGCGTCACAGATAGCTATACTCACAGCAGACACACAAAGAAAAGTCCTATCTAGAGCCGGTGTTTGGTTCTAAGATTACAAAAACATAAAGATTTATACTATCAGGTGATTATACACTAATAAAAACATACCTATGAATATTATCTTCCATTTCTGCCAGTAGAGCCTCCTTAATGTTACACACTGGACCTTTTCATTTGATGGTTAGTATGTGGTACATACTGTATAGAGTTATTATGGATTTGGGCCTCAGTCTCTGTTTTCTTTATTACTTCTATTTGTTTCACAGTGTCAGTGTATAAATGTCAACTCAAGTCTTTCTGTGTCTGTGAATCTTTTAGAAAAAGGAGAGGTGTTTGTTTGGGGATATGGCATTCTTGGAAAAGGCCCCAAACTATCCGAATCGGCGACGCCTGAGATGATTCCCTCCACACTGTTCGGACGCTCAGAGTTCAACCCCTCGGTCGCCGTCGCCAGGATCAGGTGTGGCCTCAACCACTTTGCTGCAGTGACAGGTGAGAACGTTTGTCTCGCATCCCGTCACTCCATCAAACACAAGGTTTACTGAGGCTACTTCCCATGGTTGCTGCTTTAATGCTCAAATATCAGCTTCATTCTCATGAGCCTTTTTGTTTGCAGCAAGGATAAGAGATGGAAACATAAAACTCATAAACAGCAGAGTCATTCTGTCTCATCCAGTCTGAAGTGGTAAAAGTGAGGCAGCAATGTCTGGGGAAGCGGTTTACTGTTGAGTCAGGTAATTTAGTCTCTTTATGGCACTGGACAAAAAGTCTTCTCTTGTCTGCTTTTTATCTCTAAAGTGCCCTGAAAGAACGTGCGTCGTCTCTTTGTGGAGTGAATGATGTGAACAGCGAAGGATTGAGTGGAAAAAAAACCTTTAAGCCACTTTTTATTAGTCAGCCTCAAACTTCTGGACCAGGGAACAAACAACAGGAAACTTGAAGACTGAAGTATTTGTACCACTTTGCCTTGAACTGGACATTTCCTTAAAATCAGTGATTGTTTCTTTGGTTTTACACAGTGGTGGAAAAACAGTAAGTGCATTTACTCGAGGTACCGTACTCCAGTAATGCTCCAACTAACAGTTATTTTTATTATATTATTATAACTAATAATTAATTAATTAAATAATTATATTTTCTGAATTTTCAATGCCTTTCATCATCTGTGATGTGAAAACATCAGATTTCCACACAGTCAGAAAGTAAAAGTGTGGGTCCTGCTGTCAACCCAAGAGTCAATCACTGTGGACGGCAGTGGGGGAGGTTGTACCACCGTCTGGTTCAAAAGTGCTTCATCCAATTTCTCTAACAGTCATCATCAGACTGCTGCCCACGCTGTCCGGCGTCACGCTGCCCTACGTTAACTATCGCTGTTATCCACGTTTGTGGTCATTTTGAGACTCTAACGTTTAAACTCTGAGTACAATAATGCAGCCAAAAAACAGAAGTGCAAAGATTCGACTGACAAAATGCGAGTCTACTCATGACTCAAATCATCAAGTGTTTGTTGGCAGCCCTAAATGAATTACATATTGAACCTTTGAAGACTGAGTGAATTCAATGAGTGAATAGGTGACGCCATGGGTCGCCTTCCATTGAGTCTGCTACGTCGTATTGCCATGTTTCTACAGTAGCCCAGAACAGACCAACCAAACACTGGCTCAGTTTCTCCTTCACGCTACTCCACTCAACTGCTAGCTTGCAGTAAATCCTACAAATGGTCCTTTTTAAAGCCATTATCCAGTTTGATCTCATTGTTATATACTGTAATTCAGTATTGACTAAAAGCCAGAAATCCCAAAGGTTTGCATCATGATCAAAAATAAAAGTGCATAAATATAACCTGCTAAATGAGTTGACAGATATTTTAGGAGACTACAAGTTATTCATTAATTACAGATTATCCTCATTGTCTTTGTGTGTGTGACACCTTCTCTCTCAATGTTTCTTCAAAAGTTGATTTTAGATTTTATTATTTAGATTGTGTATTAACAACGACAAGGTTAACGCTGGGATGATGAGTTTAAAGGAAGCTTTGTCTCAAGATTAGCTATTGTTTAGACAGCACAGACTTTTTGTAGTAAGATATACGTATACAGGAATATGGTTGTTATCATGTTTAATGTATTGTGCATGTCTCAGAGATAATCCCAGTAAGAGGTCTGACAGGTTTCCGACTGCAGCTGCCCTGCGTTGAGGCTCAGCAGGCGCTCAGTCTCACAGCGGTCTCATGTTTGATGGTTGCGTTGCAGATCAAGGCGAGCTCTTCGTTTGGGGGAAGAATGTGAGAGGTTGTTTGGGCATCGGGAAGAGAGACGACCAGTACTTCCCATGGCGAGTAAGACAACAGCGACTCAATATTAGTCACGCAAACAAAAGAGTCAAAACCATGCAGCTGAAATTTTGGAAGAACAAACTTTTTGTCTGACTTCTTCTTTCTTTAAATCAAAGTCAAATGCATGCACTGTTTCTTCATATGAATGTGGCAGAGGAAAGGAATATGTTGAATAAAACATTTTTCCTGGAGATTCTCCTCATCCCACAGGTTCAAGTAAAGTGAAACAACAAAATGTAGAAAACGGCATCAGTTGGTCGTACGTTTCAGTATCAAAGTGAACATTTTCTGGGTGTGTGATGGATCTAAACAATCTCACCACCTGTAGGTCCCCTGTTGAGATTTCTGATAAGTCTCACAGACTTACATTAGCACGTCTCTTCAAGACATTTAACAGGATTTGAAGGCGTAGGACTCACACTGCTTCTCAGCGTTGCACAGTCTGCAATCCCTGTATCATTTTTAGAAGGTGTAGACTATCACGGTGCAGAAAGTTCACTTTTTATCCCTAGTTTTTCTGAAGTTTATTAACAAGATTAGAAAAACTGGAGCTAATCCAAAGAATCTAAAGATCAACCATGTCTGATTTTACTCAAGCGTTCCTCCTCTAAGTCCTGTTTCTCTGTGGTTTTCCATCAGGTGACTGTTCCAGGTCAAGTGGTGGACGTAGCGTGCGGTGTTGACCACATGGTGGCGCTGGCGAAGTCCCTCCTGTGAGCTCCTGTGTTCCTCAGCAAGTGGATGAAAGGCTGGATGTTTGGCTGAGCCCGCCCCCGTCCACCTCTCCCCGCTGACCCCGGGGCGCCTCAGGGAGCCGATTGGGGCCACGCTGGAGTCTTGAAGCCAGCTGCTCTCCATAGGCGACGGGCCCTCGTGTCCCTCCGTCCTGCGGTGACGTCAAACAGAGTGCAGAGCAGTCGATTCTGACACAGCTCACTTTATCCAGCATGAAGGTCGACTGAGAGAGATATTAAAGCGTAGGTTTGGTTTATTACGACTAGAGCTGAATCGATTCATAGATAATTATAATGATGGCCAAAACTATGAAAACAAGACCCAAGTCGTAATAAACCAAACAAGCTTCCCACCAGAAAAACACAGTCAGCTTTCAGGTGGTTAAAACTGTAAAAATTCTCTGTTTTGTTTGCGCTCACGTTGTTCTTTTGCCACAACACAAGGAAACTGAAGGGAAATGTGGTGAGCGAATGGAGTGATTCACTGTGGATTGAACAGACTCTCGGATGTTGTGGCACTCGGCAGGACTGTGAAATGTTTGTAAAAACATTTGAAAAGCCAGTGACAACATACACAATCCACAAAAAAATGATTATCTCCCTGCCAACTGCAGATGCAGAGGTGAAAGCACTCTGCCAGGGAGAAAACAACATTTTAAGGAATCAATTTTACACCGTGAACTCGTGTCATGAGCAGTGCGTGCGTGTTGTGCATATACAGGCTGCAGAATGCTACCATCATGGATCATCCTGCTGACAGCTTGAGGCTGTTGTTAAATCAAACGTGATGGAAAGATGTTTTTGTGTCGTACTCCCCTTCTGGATGTATAAATAACCTGCTTTTCCCACCTTAAATGTACAAAATTGCAATGGAGAAAATGCATGATTTAATATACTATATGTAAATAAATCTATTTTTATTTACCACATCAGTTGTTTGTTAATAAATACTGAAATTAGCTTTGAAATGTTTGATAAAGCTTTGTTTTACACATCCGTAAACATGCCAAACGTTTTCAATTGGCATTGTGGGCTAATTGTCCTGATGGTGGCGCTATAGCAACCGTTGTAGATGTCTCTATCCCATTTGCTCCTTCCGCCTCCCACTCTCTTCCCACTACCCCCACGCCTCTTGCCATTTCACAGATATTACAGGTATGATTGCTATCATACAAGTTCATCTATTCCCATGCATATTAATATGGAATATCATGTGCACTGAACTAGGCGTGTATCCACTCATATTCATACTCTTATCACAGTATACACTGTTTACAGTCATATTTTACATGAAGGATATCACCAAGTCAGCAGCTCTTTTTATGGCCGCTACCGTTGTAAAGGGAAGACAACTATTGATTAATAGATTAAGAGTATGTGGGGGTTTCCGTCTTGTGATAAGGATTTAAATGACTTAAAGATTTAATGATAAATTGGTTCCCCCTAAAATTTCCATCCCAGACTCACTGCTGCACTGCAGTTATAGGTAACTACTAACAACTAATAACAAACTTTTGGTACAGAGTGCACTAGTTACAGTATAAAAAGTGATTAAGTAATGCTGTCTGCAGTGATCATTTCCTGAAATTTATACAAATGCCAATAAGTTAATAAAAACTTACATCATACATTGTATTCCTGCTCCGTATCAACATAAAAATAGATTTTTATGCGCTGATTTTGTGATCTGTCCCCTTAATAATGAGCACTGAAACGTGCTTATGAGGTTGCTGTATTCTGAGGATTGAGCGAGTGATTAAGTGTTTTGCACTCTGTGTGCAGGGAGCATTTGGTGTTTGAAGATTAAAGACAGTTGTGAAGACTGAGCAAAGCAATTCTAAAATACTGTAACAATGCAAATTCATTGCTGTAACCTGGAGTCTTTTAATCAGTGCACAACAGATCCACTGACCATGCAATTTGTCCACAGGCAAGTATATAATTCAAGGTGGAGATAACAGTTTTCAATAATAAATGAATGATGAATGTTTACTTGGATTTAATTGGAGCACTTCTTTCTTTCCAAACTGTTTCCTCTGATTAGTCCCAAAGTACATAATAAATAAAGAAATTAATCCTAATTTTTTCAGTCATTTAAATCATTAACACTTACTAGATTGTGCTTTGTGGTTGTCTGAAGCTGATCTTAACCGTAACCTCGACTATAATTCACTGATATCAACCTCTGACTGTACCAGCTGATGGAGAGTTTCATTCTTACAGTGCAATAGCCCTGCTGCTGTTGTGCTTTGCTCTCCCCATTGAGTTCCTGTATTTTGGGGCCATTCATCATTGTGACAACTCGAGGGACCTCCGAGGGTATGGAAATGTATTTATGACAAAACTACTGAGTGAGCATAAAACGTCCGACCTGTGATCAATCTGCGAGGCGGGATGTGAGAGCACACAGGGCCCATTTGTAAGTACAACACAGGTTTGAGGGTGAAATCCTAATATTATTCTCAACCGTTTTCTCAAGCTGGTTTGTTAAAGTCTTTGAGAAGTCTGCTCAGTCTCGCTATGTTCGCCAACTAATCTCTGAGTCTGTGTGCCGTTTGGGTCTGAGCAGGTGATGTACTGTGGGGTTTTTTGCAGAAAACAATGCTGTAACGCTGTGGTTGAAGGCTAAACAATGAGCTGAAACTCACTGTGATAATACTCTGTAGGTTTATTAATACAAGCGACCCCTTTAACAGTGTTATATAAATACTGATTATAGCTGCTGTCAGTTAAAGTTGATTGATGAAGACCACATGATGTGAAGCTCCAGAACTACTCATCGGTAAGTCATCGTTAAAGAATAAAGACATGTTCACCTGCAGTTGAAAACAGAGCAACATGTGATTTGGTTCAACTGGGCTCCAGATTTCAAGGAAGAATTACTGGAAAGTTTGAGCTTTATTACCCAGAAATCCCCAGTAAACTGTTTGTTAAGATTTGTGCGTGATACATGAAAAGGTGTTGTTGCAATCAGTCTTTGTGTGGATGAAGTTCTGACTCACTGTTGTTTATCTCTCACTCATAAAGTTTTGATTTGTTATGTCCGTGGGTGAAGATTTCCCACCAGTGACCTTGTAACACAGCAGACTGTAAATCGATCAAGCGGAGCGCAGGGATGCATTTAAATTAGCAGCGATGAGACGCTCTTCTGTTTGCAGCTCTACTCGAGTTCTGACTTGTTACTTTGATTGTTGTGAGTTGGAACAGAGAGGAGGAGAAGTAAAATGATTTAGTAAATGAACCTAAAAGTAAAGAGTTGGCCTGTTAAAGGTCCAGAATGTAAAATATAGTAAGATCTGTTGTCAATAATGGAAAATAATATGCATAGGAATGTTTTCATTAGTGTATAATCACCTGAAAATGAGAATCGTTGCTTTTTGGTGACCTTTGAATGAGCTGTTTTTATCTACGGAGAAAGCGGGTCCTCTTCTACAGAGTCCGCCATGTTGAACCGCCATGTTTATACAGTAGCCCAGAAGGGACACACCAAACACTGGCTCTAAATAGGGGCGTTTTTTGCAACTTTTGCAGCCACAGTAGTTTCTCTTTCATGCTTCAAGTGAGGTAGTTGCGATCTGAAATTACACCACTAGATGCCACTAAAGCCCCCACACTGGTCCTTTAAGAGGCTTCAAAATTAGCATTAACATCAATGTTATTCATTAATGTGGAGCCAATTTTAAATACTTTGTATACTACTGGGTAGACTAGACTAGTAGTATAGCAATGCATCCTTCTATAAGTACATCAAATGTTTTTTATGCAAAAAGTTACCTAAAATGTCAGATAAGTATAAAGTAGCATAGTAATAGTCTAGTAAAGTACAAGTATGTCAAAATAGTACTCAAGTAAATGAGTAAATGTAACCTTAATTTAAACATATGTGGAGGTACAATAATGTTTATCTTAACCCTGACAGTACCATACAGTACAAGTGCACAAAAAACTACTTTGTAACTGTAATGAGAGTAAATGTATTCCATTAATTCCACTCTGCAGGACAGACAAGTCAGTGAGCCTCACAGTTGAGCTGTAGGAGATTATGTAAGGAGGAAGATGATCATGATGAGAGAAAACACTAACATACCATGTCCGCTCCTTTAACCCCGCTCTGCAGAGGGTTTCTGCAGCTGCACCAGCCCTCCTCCTCCTCCTCCTGTGTCTGTGTGCTGAAGTGAGCTGAAGCAGAGAAAAGGTGGCGTGTGGAGGCTCCCGCGCAGGGCTACAAGGACCTGGCTGTCCTCTGCTTTGTTTACTCAGGTCAAATAATACAGACAACTGATATACCTGCAGTCTTCCCTGCTGTCGTCCATCTGCTGCAGGGTGGAGAGGAGGAAGGGTTTCAGCGCAGTCCAACGGTGAAGACACTCACATAAGGGACAGGTGTGTGCACTAAATGTGGTTTTTCACAAGACGTTATGATTAACATTACATCATCTACGTGTATAAAACCCCACAAGCTGCCCCTAGAGGCTGCAGTTACACCTCACAAAAAGAAAGTGTTGGGCAGAAGTTAGACTATACAGGGTTACCACAGGGTCTTAAAGAGATTAAAAAAAATCTGAATTTGGGGCCTTTTTTGGCCATCTAAAATATGATTCTGACAGGTCTTAAAATTTGATTTGATTGAATATTTGAAGTAGGAACAGACTTTGGAACAAGATGGCCTCTGTACCCTGATTACTTCTTCAGTCTATGAGCATCAATTTACAAGCATCTAATGAGGCAACACAGCCGGTATGAGTGAGTAAAAGATGGCATTTTATCCTCGGGGTGGTGCTAATGGAAAGGGTTGATTCTCTGGGGAGCATGAACATGCTCAGTAAATTTCACAGCCATCTGCCTGTTTTTTCTTTTTTTTTTTCGGTACAAGTGGAAAGTTTGATCCAACAGTGGCTTCAGAGAAAAGTGGAAATATGGACCAGATAGTGGCACCAGAACTAAGATCATGGGGTCCCTGAAATCAGTCGTCCTCAGGGGACCACGCATGCTACATTGTTTCTACATTTATGCGTTATAATATTCTTATACCCATATTTTTAAGCGATATTTATCATAAAGAAAAAAAGCAGTACTAGTTTGCAAATCCTTATTTTCATGCTTGCAGCTCTTGTTGCATCACACCTCTGAGAAGTGTTTTTTCACTCGTGGAAAACAAGTCCCCGTTGAATTCATGTAGTGCCGATTTAACAAACATCGTCACAGAAACATCACTGCTGCTGTTCCAGCTTGGCAGGTTATTATAAGCACAAGACGACATCCTTGTGTGAGTTTGTGTTGTCCTTGTTTTTCAGTTTGTGCCCACACCTTGTAAATCTCTGCTGTGTGTACTACTCTGTTCCTTTTCCACGTATACAGTACTCTACTCACTACCTGGTGATATACTTGTATAGTGCGGATACATTTTTGCATTCTGTTAACTCAAAGATTATTTTTGTTAATGATTCAGATCCGTTATTTAAATGAAAGTACTAACAATACACTGTAAAAACACAGTATTTAGTAAAGTATTCAAAATGTTACTTAAAGCAGCAAGAAGGAACTTTCATTTTGTGTTGATTCTGGCGGTCCCTGTGGACAAAAACGGTAGTGTTCCCAAGTTCATAAAATAGTGACAAATGCTCTCACAATTACCCAGAGCCCAAAGAAACACCTCCAAAAGTCCAAACCTCAAAAGTAAGTAAGTTTGCAAAATTGGGGCAAATTAGTTTTCTATGGTCTACCTGATTAATCGACATGTCAGCTGTACTTGTGTACTGTTGGGTTCTTTAATTCAATAGTTCTCAAACTTTTTTATAAAATGTCCCTCCTTTGAAATTTATTTTCAGCCAAGTACCTCCCGACCTACGCAAAAAACACTTGTGGTAGAGAATAATGCTGATATTAAGAGGTACAATCCAGCGCTGAGCCACCAGTGTCTGATTTATTAAACAACCTTGAAAGCACAATGTCCTGGGAGGGTTGCAGCCTGTTGAGGTAAATCTCATTAAAACATTCTTCCTGATACTAACAGTAGTTTTTGGCCCTGCTTTTGTTTTCTTTTTCATTGTTTTGCCACTGTATTGCTCCTACAGTTCAACCACAAATGTGTTTTCTTGATATTTGTCATTTAGTATCGAAACAGGCTCACAGTGAACAAACATTGTCTTCCTTCTTCTTTTGTGAAAATAGGATTAGTGAATATAAAATGTGGTTTATTTAACTTTATGCATGACTGATATCTTTTTAATTAACATTTTTAACAAATCTAACATAGCCACTGCTCTGTACAAAGAACCTCTAGGGGTACCTGTGCCCCCATTTAAGAAACAACGCTTTAATTTATATCAAAGAAAGAATAAAGAATCATATTTTAGAAGTTTTTCATATATTTTGTAGGCATAAAACAAATAAAATGTAATATGTAAAGGAACTAGTAACTAAAGCTGTCAGATAAATGTAAATAAAAAATTTTTTAAAACATATATTCTAATCTCAGTGTAAAAACAAAAGTTGATTGAGAAATGTGATTCAGTTAATCTCGAGGCTCTGACGACCAGACTGCGCAGAGATGTCACCAGTTTATTGATTAAAAGTACACATTGGGAGGACAATCCCTGTATCGAAGGAAAGACAGTAAAAATAACACACCGGTGAAAACTGAGCACTCAACAAGCTCAAAAAGAAAAGGCTTGTTTATTTATTTTTTTCCACACAAGAAGCTCCAAATGAAAAGGTTTCAACTTTTCCTTCGAAATGGAATCAGAATAAATGTCACCTTCCTTGTGTTTTAACACTGATACACACAGGGTTTCTACTAATCACGTCCGATCAGAAGAAAGGTTGGTAGGTGCAAGGTGTTGTGGGGAAAAAACAAGAGAAAGAAAAACATCACCAAATGCTTAAGACCAACAGAAATCTCCCCATCTGGACAGGATCCTTCTAAAGTAAATAGCCCTCCCCATTTCACATCAGTACAGCAGGCCTGTGGGGGTGGAACCTGCATTAAAGTGCAGACTGGGGCAGGGGAAGGGCAGCTTCAAGACCTAAACGGACACCAGGGCTCGGAGGGAAATGTTCCCGCCCCGTGTGAACCTTAGCTTATGTTTAGCACGCTTTCACTCAGTTATTATTCTAACACATTGTCAAAGTGGCTCAGTAATTTATTACTATTGTAGATGCAAACATTTTCATCATTGCATTTTATCATCAGGTCTTACTGCGGGGGTTCACACTGTGAGCAACATGATCAGCACTTCATCGCAGTGATGTTTTATGTAGTGTCACAACAGTATTAATCCAGGAGGAGAAAATTAGAGTGAAAGAGTGGAACTTTTCCAGAAAACCACGAAATATCCTTTTTACTTTTCTGTTTTTGGATTAAACAGATAAGATATAATGGTTTAGTTAGTAAAATGTATTGCCATTTTTATGAACTGTGCCCAGAGCCAGGCTGTTTACCCTTCTTTCCAGTATTTATGCTAAGCTAAGATAATCGCTTCCTGGCTCCAGGTCCATGCTTAACACACAAGGATGAGAGTGGTATCATCTACTCTTGGCAAGAAAGTGAATAAGCATATTATTCAAAACATCAAATTATTTAAGCAAGCTCAACCTGGACTCCAGGATTACTGGATCTTCAGTAATCCTGGAGTTGATGTTAAGTTATGAAGTTGGGCTACACCAAATGGTTATTTATATGGCAGTTGATACATTATATATATCTATATATCTAT